ATATATTTGGAAGTTGCAAAAGTAAAAATTGAAACCAGTCCCAGCTGACATGAATTCAGTACGTTGTGTATTAATCTTCTGTCCTGTTGTCGTAGGTCGATGATGCAGAGAGCACCGTCGGTGTCGAGTTCACTCCCACAATCCCTCACTGCAGCATGGCAACACTCATAGGTCTGTCAATCAAAGTCAAGCTGCTGCGCTCCCTGCCCGACAGATTCAAGGTGCGCCGGCTCCAGAGATATACGTTCAACACCGCCCCCCCCCCCCTGTTTATTCTGAGTTCACGTGAACACAACTTGTATTTTTCTCGTTTCCTCTCAGATCGATGTCCACATCACTCCTGGGACTCACGCCTCGGAGGAAGCGGGTAAAAACAATAACAACCCCTATTTTTCCATCCACTGTGACATTTACCTCGGATATATCCTGTTGACTTTCCTGTGTTTATCATGTTTACTGGTCAGTTTTCAATGTGATTCTATGTTGTGTGACTTGTTTCACTGTGTTTTTGTGGTTTCATGTGCAGTGAACAAACAGCTGGCCGACAAAGAGCGAGTGGCAGCAGCTCTGGAGAACTCCTCGCTGCTTGAGGTGGTCAACCAGTGTCTGTCCAGCAGGAGCATCTGAGCAGCCAATCAGCTCTGCGTCTTCTTCTTTCAGCGTCCGATAATATTTTGCAGCACAACTCTCTGATCAGCCAGAAAAGCCTGCTATTAAGATGCTAGATACAAGAACAGGAAACATAGTATTCACTGTGTTAAAGAGATCAATACACATGTTTGTCATCTTGCAGAATAGTCTGAACAAAGCAGAGGATTTATTTGATTTGAGGATTTTATCAGAGAAAGTGAAGAAATTCTTCTGGTTACGTTTTATTAAGGTTGATGCCTGTTTTATATAATGACATTTGTAAACTTATCAAAGGAGGAAAATATTCTGACTCATCATCTGCTCAGAGTCTGCAGAAATAATTCAATTCAGTCATATACACATTATATTAATGCTTTGGAAATTTTATGAAAAGTCTGCCTGTCTGTAATTTAAATAAAATA